AATTTATAAAATTTATAAAAGGGGATTATGGCTACAGAAGGTGCAAGTGCTGTAGCCGCTGCAGAAGTGGAAGCTGCTGCACATGCTAATCTACAGGCTTTACAAATGTTCCATCAACGTTGCGGACGACGTATAACTTTATCTAATTGCAATCGTACAGCTACACGATCTGTGCGCGATTTTAGTCATGCATTGGTTTTTAGCGATGAACCATTAATTGATGATGTTCTCTTTGAAGTAGTTATTGAAAAAAAGGCAAGTTTTTTTAAGTTTTCGATCCGATTTAATACATAAATAACACAATCTTATTCCTATATATAGAATCATTCCTGGGGTGGCAGTATTGAAATAGGTGTCACCTCAGAATCACCGGATAAGTTGGAATTACCTTCTTGTGCTACAGTAATGCGTAACGGCACCTGGGTCATGTCTGGCATTGATGTACGTAAAGATGGCATGTGTCTTACGGAATTTTATGGCACCGATTTGGAAATGCTTAACGAAATGGATCGCGTGGGTGTTATGCGCACTTCGAGCCACGAATTGGTATTTTATGTAAATGGTGAAAGCCAGGGTGTAGCGGCCCGCAACATGCCAAAAACCGTATGGGCTCTTGTTGATCTTTACGGACGTTGTGTTCAAGTATCTATTTGCCCAACGCATAGAAGTGGTAGTGGGGTAAGTAGCGGCTTTACTTCAATACCTGAAAGTGGGTTAATACCAACATTTCTGATTAGTTTCTAATAGATAAATAAAAAGGGTAAGAAGGTTATAATCACTTTGGGTGAATCTTTCAAAGCTGAATTCAAAGTACTTAAGCTGATTTTTTCAGATGGTCAATCGAGACCATTTATACATTTACTATTGAATGCTTAGATCAGTATGAACAGGCATACACGCCTAATAAACTCAAAACCTTAGACGCGTAATATATTTGTATACATCTTATGCCGCCCATTTTTCTGTATTTCCTGATGACGCAGAAAGGACCACAAATTTTGTTTAGATTCGTATGCTCTGTCGTTTCATTGCTAGGGGAAAAACCAAAACAGATTTAGTATTGTATTGAAAATAAATCTGACCTTAACTGTATCTATTTTCCGCATAGCGCAAACATAAAAATGAGATCATCAGGTTTCTTAAATGATTTTAAACAAGGAGTGTGTTAGGACAAGCATAAAAATGAGATCATCAAGTTTCTTAGCTGATTTGAAGGAAGGAGTGTGTTAGAACAAGACT